AACACAGTCAGCCACAATAACACCTGCCAGCTCCAATCCTAAACTGCCTTTTTGAAAACAGAGGCTTGAATCCACATTCCACATAGAGGTTCTATCATCACAAAGAAAACCTCAGAACAAACCAGCACACATGAATTAATAGCCAAAAAATCAAATGCAACAGCTCCACCTTTTCAAAATATTAAATTATAAAACCAAGACAAAACAATTCAGTACATAACTAAAGTTAAAGACAACTTCAAAATGTATAGGAAGCAACAGGCAACCTCCAATCAAACAGTAAAAAACAGGATAAGACATTAGGAGTAAAATCTCAAAGAAAAGTCTCATTAAACATGGAGGAAGAGGAGACAATAGAACTACCCAAGAAGGAATTTAGAAGGAATGTTTACAGAGCTCTACAAGAGGTTACGGAACCCACAAACAGAAGCAAGGAGAACACAGACAGTTCCCTGGAAGAACTCAGGAAAACCATTCAAGAACAAAATAACAAGATTAATGCACAATCAGAACTCATACAAAAATTGAAGTTAAAAATTTAGATGATGAATGCCGAAGTTACAGAATTACACAATAGAGTGGAAGCACAAAAGAATAGGATAGAACTAGCTGAAGAATGCATTTCCCAACTAGAAGACAAATCCTTGAACACCAGCCTGTATGAAGAAAAATCAGAACAAAGATTTAAGAGAAATGAAGAGAACCTAAGATTTATATGGGATGACATGAAAAGAAACAACATATACCTCATTGGAATTCCAGAACAGGAAGAAGCAGGAAAAAACCAAACAAAGAAAGTAAAAACCACTGAGAATATATGTAAGACCTACTAACAGAAAACTTCCCCCATATCATGATGGAAGAAAATATATTTGTCCAAGTAGCTCATAGAACCCCACAAAGATAGATCCCAAGAGAAAAACACTAAGGCATATCATAATCAAACTCTCCAAAACAAAGACAAAGAAAGAATTTTGTGAGCTGCCCAGGACAAAAGAAATATCACTTATAATAATCAAACAGTTAGCCTGAGCTCTGATTATTCAGCAGGAACCAGCAAGAAGGCAATGGGGCAGCATATATAAAACACTGAAGGAAAAGAACTTCTAACCAAGAATCTATATCCAGCCAAATTGTCTATCAAGTATGAGAGTGAAATCAAGTCATTCTCAGACAAACAGAAATCAAGGGGTTTTGTGAAAACCAGACCAAACTTACAAGAAATGCTTAAGGAAGTCCTTACAATATCTCTACACAACAGAGAACAATAAAATCAGTAGTTAAGTTATGGTACCTATGAGTTGGAATTAACTCAGGGACATATATCAACAACAAGTAGTTAAGTCTTTAAGTATAGAGATTTAAGTAATGAGCAGTTCATTTTATAGACTTAAAAACTGATTAAAATGGCAAAATCACTTAATGTTTCTGTTTTTGAATATGGATTTTCATATTAATAAAAGGTGAACTTAGTTATATATGGCTTTAAAAATCAAAGTTTTCTCTCATGATAATTTTTGATCATTTTGAAAAGTTTTCTTTAACAGTGTATGGATCATAATTTCTTTATAAATAGTAACTTTTGTTTTATAAATTGTGAATTATTTTCTAAATTAATTGAAATCACCAAAATATTTGCCTTACTACTAGAAAACAGTAAAATCTCATTCAAATATCTAATTAATTATGGTAGTTGCAGGAGTTTTGACCATTTATGATGTTACATTTAGCATTACAAAAATAACAACATTTAAAAAAAAGGGATGTAGGAGTAGAGAAGTTTCATGCCCATCTGTTATGTAACTAAGTTTTATTCATGGCTCATATTAAAATTCTTACTTAGAACTGTGGACTCTTGTTAAGCAAATGTTTGTGTGTACTGAATCTGTTTAACGCTTGGTTATCCATTCAGTCATATATGTTGAAAATGCTTACCTACCTACTGTTTTTAATGTTTGCAGCCAATGTAATTGCTAAAGCTAAAGGTCTCGCAATTTTGTCTGTGATAAAAGCTGGATTTCTGGTAACCGCAAGAGGAGGCAGTGGGATCGTATTGGCTCGTCTTCCAGATGGAAGTAAGTAGATATTTGTTCAGTTAGAGGAGTAGAAAATCTTAATTATCTTTTTTTTTTTAATCCTATTTCCATTTTGAACACATTCCATAAGGACTAACAAGTTTCCCCTGTGTCTTTTAAAACTGGTATACTAAGTGCTGCTCAATTGAGTGTATAGATGCTAACAATACACTCAAAAAATTCATATTTTTCTACGTACTTCCTCCTCTTAAAATCATTAGGCTTGATCCATAGGCATCTATCCAATGGATATATCGTACCTTTTTTTTGAGTATACATTTTGTAATTTTTGCATGGTGCAATATACAAACATGACAATCTATGCATTTCTGTTTTAAAATGTGAATTCACATTTCTCAACTTTATGGTATAAACCAAAAAGAAAAAAACTAAATTCACTGCCTTTGAGTCAGTTCTGACTTAAAGCCACCCCTTCTTGGGTTTCCAAGGTGGTATTTGTATGGCAGTAGATTGCCCAATCTTCCTTCTGAGGGGTAGCTTGTGGGTTTAAACCACGAGCCATCTGGTTAGCAGTCAAATGCCTTAGGCACTGCACCATCAGAGCTCCTACTTCATGGTATAGCTGTTTTGTTTTATGGAAGTTAATATGAAAATCAAGGGTCATCTGTCAGCTTTACTACCATTTCTATGATAGTTCCAGAAACACTGTAACATTTAAAAACTTTCCCATAAGATAAAATTATATTGCTATCAATGTAATTTGATTTTGCTTTCTGGGATGAAATCAATTATTTGATTTTCAGAGGTTAAAAACTCACTGAGATAGAGTTGGATCCGACTCACAGAGACCCCTCCTTGGGTTTTGGAGGCAGTATCACTATGGAAGTAGATTGCGCAACCTTCCTTCCGGGCAGTGGCTGGTGTGTTTGAACCGCCAGCCTTCTGGTTAGCAGTCAAATGCCTTAGGCACTATGCCACTAGAACTTAAATCTAAATATATTTGCCATGTATCTCAAGAACCAAAATTTATAATAGTATTTGAAATGTGTGCAGGTATGTCATAACCAACTAAAATCCTTTTCACCAATTTAACATTTTCTGTTCACTCTTTTGTGTGAACACATTTGTCTATTAATAGCCATTTTTTAGTACAGATAATTAAACTTTTATTTTGAGAGAGCAGAGGACACTTACTGAAAAGAGATACAATTTATGTGTTTTGTAGAGCATATGGCCTTTAAATATCAGCCAGTTGGATTCACTAGGTTTCCTGCCAAGGTATCCTCACAGAAAATGAGAGTTTCTCCTTTAAGTAGTGGCTCAACTTTCATAACTCAGTGTTATGAAAATGAAAACTGCAAAATTATCTTCTCAAGCATTTCCCAAATTTTCATGGGCAGAGTTCTTAGTCTTAAAAACAAACAAAATACAGGCATAGTCAGAGGGGGCCCACTATCAGCTGGGACTCAAAGTCTGTAAGAAAATTGTGAAGCTGTATGTTCTCAAGGCCTTTAGGACCCCTCTGGCTGCCCTCCATTGACAGAATGATTGTAGTTGAAAAGGTTGAAAGACTATCATGTTCTGGAGTTTCTCTCCAGAAACTAAATAAAAGAATCCCAGGCGGATCTTTTATTTGGTTTCAAAAGTCTGAATTTTTCTCTTCAGTCTTCCTAAGTAGCCAGCTATTTTCTCTGTAAATTCTAATTTAAAAACTGTCCAAATAAGGCACAGCAAGATCACCAGGATTGTGGCCAGATGTGCTTGTATCCTGAAATGTTAGATTATAGGAGCAGCCTTTAAATAGGATGAAGTTCCTAATGTGAAAAATTAAAAAAAGTAGAAAGCAACCTTGGGATCATCAGATAGTTATTTCGTTAGTTAAAAGTCCTATGTGCCTGAATGTAGTAGAGCTGCTAACAAGAGACAAAGTTGTGTTCACTTCTTGGCCACAGCCAGCTACTCAGAGGGAGTGAATACTTAGACCTGTGGGCTCGGAACTATAGTCACAGGGGACATCAAACTCAATTGGTATAACATACTATACAAAAACATTGTTTTACATCCTACTTTGGTGAGTAGTGACTGGGATTTTAAAAGCTTGCAAGTGGCCATCTAAATGCAACGATGGGTCTCTCCTCATCCAGAGCAAAGAAGAGTGAAGAAAACCAAAGACACATGGAAACAATTAACTGGAACGCCATACAGTCCTCAGCCTATATGACTATGAGACCAAAAGAGCTAGATGGTGCCCGGCTACCACTGTCTACCACTTGGAGGGGGATCTGTGTAGGAGATCCTGGATAGAGTGGGAGAACAATATAGAACAAAATTTAAAATCATTAAAAAAAAAAAAGAAGAAGGGACCAGGTTTGCTGATCTGATAGAGCCTGGCGGAACCACTGAGACTATGGCCCCTAGCTGCCCTTCAGCTTCAGGTCTGGAATTGAACCACTCCTATGGCTTCCAGCCAAACAAAAGGCAGGCATATGAACTGGAAGTTTACATTAAGTAGATATGTTCCTTGGACAGATCAATCATGGGAGAATAGAAGGGCTGTGTATGTACAGGGAAATAGTTTGGGGGGCAGGAGGACATGGGAGGGAAAGACACAGGGAAGAGGTAACTATGGGGAGGAAGTAAGAAGGGAGCTGTTGGTTGTGGGAAATTGCAGTCAATACCATGACACAAAGTGTATGTGAGCTGCTGTATGGAAAGTGAATTCGTTCTGTAAACTTTCACCCAAATCACAATAAAAAGTATTAATAAATAAATAAAATCCTGTATGTGTGAATGAACTAGTTATGGATATATTCAAGCAATAATCTATTATTTAGAATACATGGTGTCTTAGTTATCTAGTCTAGTGTAACAGAAATACCACAAGTGCATGGCTTTAACAAATGGAAATTTACTTTCTCACAGTTTAAGAGGCTAGGAGTCCAAATTCAGGGTTCCATTCTAGGAGCAGGCAGAGAAAGCCTCTCTATTGGCATTGGAGAAAGATCCTTGTCTCTTCTGAACTTCTGCTGTTGGGCAGTCTTCACCCCTCTCCTCCCTCATCTCTGCTCCACTTGCTTATTTAACCTCTTTTATATCTCAGAAAAGATTGACTCAAGATATACCCTGTACTAATCCTGCCTCATAACATAACAAAGATAACCCGTTCCCACATGGGATTATAACCACAGGCATAGAGGTTAGGAATTACAACACATATTTATCAGGGATATAATTCAATTCTTAACAGTCCACCTTTTGGCTCCCAAAATTCATGTCCTTACCTCATGCAAAACACATTCATCCTATCACATCATCCCCAAGTTCTTAAATAAAGTCCAAAAATTCCATTTTGTGAATCATCTAAATAAAAAATGGGTGAGAAGTTAGATGTAGTCCATCCTGGGGTAAAATTCCTTTTCATGTGTGAATCTGTAAAATCTAGAATTCAAGTTATCTGTTGCCAAAGTATAATGGTAGAACAGATACAAGGTAGATATTTCTAGACTCTGGGTGTTGGCCATACTCTCTGAATTCTACGTGGAGGCCCCTGGGCTGTGGGCTTCAGTTCTGCCTTCCAGGTGCACTGCAATGGAAACTCGGCTTTAGGTGGCCCCATTCTCATAGTCCATCTGAGGGGCTCTTCTTCCCTAGGTCCTGGTAGTCCTTATTCTTCTGCCTCTTGGATATAGCAGCCCCACACACTCAGCTTTGAGTAGCAGCCCCAAGCCTGGCATACCTTAATGGAAGTCTGACACTTAGAACCACAGGCATAGAGGTTAGGATTTTTAATGTATATTTTTCAGGGGCATAGTTCAATCCATTAACATGGTGACAAGGAGAATTAGGCTTAAAAGTCCCAGGATAGCACAAAGAGTTGAGTGTTTGACTACTAACTGAAAGGTTGGCAGTTAAACCCACCCAAAGTCTCCTCAGGAGAAAGGGCTGATAATATGCTTCTGAAAGAGCTTTGAAAATTCTGGGGCAAGTCTGCTCTGTATCATGTGGGATTACAACTCAATAGCAAGTGGTTTGTTTTGTTATGACTTAGTGAGTTAGTTATGGATATATTCAAGCAATATCCTGTTATCAAGAATACATAGTCACAAAGAAGATTAGTTATAAAAATCTAATATACCTTTTCAGAAAACATCTCAATTATGCCACTCGCCTCTAACCCAATTAAAAAGGCTTGTTTAATGTAACTGTTTCTAAATCAGGAAAAATGAGCATACAATAATTCTTAAATGTGCCGTATCATGGAAAATGAAATTATTGTACTTTCAAAGTTTCCAAATAGTATAAAATATGTATATATTTGGACTTTTGATTATATTAAACTGATAGCTTATTTCTTATTCTTCTTTTAGGCACAAGGGATGTCAAGACAGTTTTATTTTGAGGAAGTTATAATATATAAAAACAATGTAGTACTGAATACTCTCTTGAATTCCTTTTGCTTTCATATCTATGATGAAAGGCTAACTGAAGACTAAAGTTACAGCTAAATTATTTTGTAAAACATCACAAAAGCATTAACAGTTAAAACTATCAAATGGAATGTATAGTTGGCTGTTGTTGTTATGTGCTGTCCAGTCGGACCTGAGTCATAGCAATCCCTCCTTGGGTTTCTGAGGCAGTATCACTATGGAAGTAGATTGCCCAACCTTCCTTCTGAGGAGTGGCTGGTGTGCTTGAACCACCAGCCTTCTGGTTAGCAGTCAAGTCCCTTAGGCACTATGCTATAGTTAGCTAGGAGAAAGCAATTGCTTGATATTTTGCATGTTGGTATAGAAAGATCGGACAGTAAGGGTTTCTGAGGCTATAAAACTCATAATGAATATCTATAACCTTTCAAACATCTTCAATGTTTTTTGAAAATTCTACATTAGGAGCTCTGGTGGTGTAGTGGATAAGGCACATGACTGCTGACTGGTAGGTCAGTGGTTCAAACCCACCAGCTGCTCTGCAGAAGGAAAACCGGGCAATCTACTTCTGTAAAGATTTATAGCCTCAGAAACCCAATGGGTTTGACACTATCAGTCAGAAATGACTCCATGACAGTGAGTTCTTTGTTTGTTTGTTTGTTCGGTACATGCTTATTAAAGAGCATTTAAATAACAAATGTCATGAAACAAAAATGTATAAACGGGTGAATGCAAAACTAATTTGCCCTGTAAACTGTTACCCAACCACAATAAGTTAATAATAATAATAAGCATTTAAAACCTTAGAGAGAAAAAAAATAAGTCAAATTATTAAAAAAAAGAAACACTGTTCATATTTTAGTATTTTTCCTTTCTATATTTATGTATCATGAGTTCTAATGTTGAAATAGTGTTTGTTTTCTGTTTTTATCAGAATGGTCTGCACCTTCAGCCATTGGGATAGCTGGTCTTGGTGGAGGATTTGAAATAGGAATTGAGGTAAGTAGTTGATGCATATGCATACAATTGTCATATTCTCCGAAAGCACTTGAAAATCAATGCACGAAATTTGAGGAATTTCTTATTATTTTACCACTGACATCTGTAAAAATATCTCCATTTCATTTTCTTAACGCATTTAAATTGTCTAATGGTTTCCATTTTTCTTTCTTTCATTGAGAATAGGATTTCTTTTATTATTATTATTATTTTAAGAGCTTGTTTTACATTCAACGTTACTTGTACATTTAGTTTCACTCCCCATTTACCATGTCCAAATCTAACCCAGTCTCTTCCCCTCCCTACCCTGTAACCTTCCCCCTGTGCCCCTCATATTAATGCTCCCTGTTTGTCCTGCATTTCCTCAATTTGAATGTTGGTCCTCTGCTGTCCTGTGGTCTATTGCTCTAAGGGATGTATTACCATAGAGTATGTGGGTGTATCATCTTGGGTTGAGTGGTCTGCATGTATATCTTGTTAATTATTGGGCTGAGAGCCAGCCCTTGGGGTATGTTTTATTCCAGGCACAGAATGCATTCCAGGGCAATAGTATTGGGAGTCTCACCAGATTTCATCTGACCAGTAATTCTGGTCATTATTGAGTTTTTGGATTTTGTTCCACATTTTCCCTCCCACTCTATCCAGGATCTCCAGATTTGATCCTTTCCTGAGTGGTTGGCACTGGTAGCTGGGCACCATTTAGTTCTTCTGGTCTTGAGGGCCATTGTGTCCTATGGCTGATTGCTTCCACCACATGCCCTTGTTTTTTTTTTTTTTTTTTCATTCTTCTTCGCTTCTGATGCTAGGAGATCATTAGTTGCATCTTAGATGGCTGCTTGAAAGCTTTTAAGACCCCAGTCGCTACTCACCAATGTAGGATGAAGAACAAGATTTTTATGTATTTTTTGTGCCAATTGAGTCTGGTGTCCCCCAGTACTATGGTCCTGAGATGGTAGATTTATTGGATCTCTCTCCCATAGTGTCTGGTTGTCTGTGAGGGGTTACTCTGTGTCTGTCTTCTATTGTTTCTGTAAGGACTGCAGGTGTTTTGTATCACTGGTGTCTGTGCAAGATTAGCCTCAACTTTATCTATCCTTGGTCTAGAGTATACTCCTGTTCACTGACCCCCATCTGATCCTCTCAGGTGTTTATGTGTTTATCCATAGCCTGGTGTTTAGTGTTAATGGCAATGCAGTATTGTGGATATGTTGGTTGGTATTGTTGTTGTTGTTGTTGTTATGTGCCCCCGAATCAGACCTAAATCATAGTGACCCCTCCTTGGGTTTCTGAGACAGTATCACTACAGAAGTAGATTGCCCCATCTTCCTTCTGAGGAGTGGCTGGTGGGTTTGAACCGCCAGCTTTCTGGTTAACAGTCAAGTGCCTTGGGCACTACGCTACCAGAGCTCCCTTGGTTGGTATTAGCATCTGTCATCTGTCTCTTATGTGCACAATTCATTGTCCTCCCATTTCTTAATGTTGTAGTGGTGGTCACAGATCCTTCCCATATATCGCTCCCCCTACCTGCATTAGCATATGGGCCCCAACTAGCCCAAAATTAATCCCTCCTCATCCCTCCCTATCCCTCCCCATCCCAGTAACCTACAAAGTGATTTCCCTTTCCCAAGCAAACCCTTCTTTGTCTTTTTTACAGTAATGGGCTTGCACAGTACTTGTCTTTCTGCAATTGACTTATTTCACTCAGCATCATGTCCTCCAGGTTCATCCAAGTTGTGAGATGATTTGACTATCTCTCATTGTTCTTTAATGTGGCATAGTATTCCATTATGTGCATTTACCATAATTTTGTTATCCACTCATCCGTTGCTGGGCATTTAGGTTGTTTCCATCTCTTCGCTATAGTGAATTGTGCTATGATGAACATAGGTGTACATGTCTGTCCGTGCACTCTCTCTCACCTCTTTAGGATATATTCCTAGTAATGGAATTGCTGGGTTAAATGGTACTTCAATTTTTAGTTTTTTAAGGAAATGCCATACTGTTTGCCACAATGGTTGTACCATTTTACAATCCCACCAGCAGTGCACAAGAGTTCCAGTCTCTCTGCAACCTCGCCAACATTTGTTATTTCCTGACCTGTTGAACTTTGTTATTATTGCTGGGGTGAGATGATATCTCATTGTTATTTTGATTTGCATCTCTCTAATGATTAGTGATTGTGAGCAATTTCTCATGTGTCTGTTGGCTGCCTGTATATCTTCTTTGGTGAAGTGTCTGTTCAAGTCTTTTGCCCATTTGTGAATTGGGTTATTTGTCTTTTTGGTGTTGAAGTTTTCTATAGATTTTGGAGATAAGTCCTTTATCAGATATGTCATAGGCAAATATTTTCTCCCAGTCTGTAGGTTCTCTTTTTACCCTTTTGAAGAAGTCTTTTGATGTGCATAAGAATTTTATTTTTAAAAAGTCCCAGTCATCTAGCTTCTCTTCTGTCTCCTGCACATTCTGGGTTATGCTTGATAGTCTATTTATGTCATAAATTAGGGCTCCCAGATCTGCCCCTATTTTATCTTTGATGAATTTTATAGTTTGGGGTTTTACATTTAAGTCTTTGATCAAGTTTGAGTTTGTTTTTGTGTATGGGGTGAGGTGTGGGTCTTGTTTCATTTTCTGCAGGTGGATATCCAGTTTTGCCAAAACTATTTTTTAAACCTGCTGTTTCTTCCCCATTTAATGGGTTTTGGACCTTTGTCCAAGATCACTTGTCCGTAGATGGATGGGTCTATATCTGAACTTCCTATTCTGTTCCATTGGTCTGTCTATCATTGTACCATGCTGTTTTGACTACTGTGGCTGTATAGTAGTTCTTAAGATCTGGGAGTGTGAGACCTCCCACTTTGTTTTTCTTCTTGAGAAGTGCTGTGCTTATCCAAGGTCTCTTTCCTTTCCATATGAAATTAGTAATTAGTTTTTCCATGTCCTTAAAAAATTTTGTTGAAATCTAGATTGGGATTGTGTTAAATGTGTAGATTACTTTAGGTAGTATTGACATTTCCACAATATTTAGTCTACCTATCCATGAACAAGATAGATCCTTTCATTTATGTAGTGCCCTTATTGTCTTCTGTAGCAGTGTTTTATAGTTTTCTTTGTATAGGTGTTTTGTGTCTCTGGTGAGGTTTGTTCCTAGATATTTTATCTTTTTAGTAGCTATAGTAAATGGTAGTCTCTTATTTATTTATCAGAGGACTCTTTGTTGGTGTAGAGGAATCCAACTGATTTTTTATGTTCCCTTGTATCCTGCCACTTTGCCGAACCTCTTTATTAGTTCCAATAGTTTTTTTTTTTTTTTTTTTTTTTTTTTTTTTTTTTTTTTTTTTTTTTAATTGAGTCCCTTGGGTTTTCTGTGTACAGGATCATATCATCTGCAAATAGAGATAGTTTTAATTCCTCTTTGCCAATTTGTATGCATATTATTTCTTTTTCTTGCCTTATTGCCCTGACCAAGACTTCCAATACAATGTTAAATGTAAGTGGTGATAGAGGACATCTTTGTCTGGTTCCTGTTCATAAGCGGAATGCCTGGAGTCTTTTTTCATTAATAATGATGTTGGCTGTTGGAATTGTATATATACCCTTTATTATGTTGAGGAATTTCCCTTCTATCACTATTTTGCTAAGAGTTCTGAAGAGGAATGGATGTTGGATTAAAATCAAATGCCTTTCTGCATCGATTGACATAATTATATGGTTCTTTTCTCTTGTTCTGTTTATATGGTGGATTACATTGATTGATTTTCTGATGTTGAACCACCCTTGTAAACCTGGTATAAATTCCACTTGGTCCGAGTGTATTAATATTTTGATATTTTGTTGGATTCTCTTGGCTAAGCAGCTCTGGTAGCGTAGTGTCTAAGGCACTTGACTGCTGAGCAGAAGGCTGGTGGTTCAAACCCACCAGCCACTCCTTGGAAGAAAGGTTGGGCAATCTACTTCCATAGTGATACTGCCTTGGAAACCCAAGGAGCGGTCACTATGAGTTGGGTTCGACTTGATGGCACATAACAACAACAACAACAGGATGTTGTTAAAGATTTTCACATCTATGTTCATGAGGGATATTGGTCTGTAGTTTTCCTTTCTAGTGGTGTCTTTTCCTGGTTTTGGTATTAGTGTTATGCTTGCTTCATAAAATGAGTTTGGGAGTGTTCCATCTTTTTCTGTGCTCTTGAATAGCTTAGCATAGGTGTCAACTCTTCTCTGAATGTTTGATAAAAATCTCCATTGAAGCCATCAGGGCCAGGGCTTTACTTTGTGGGAAGTTTTTTTAAGACTTGTTCAATTTCTTCTTTTGTTATAGGTCTGTTCGAGTTTTCTGTGTCTGAGTGGGATAGTTTAGGTAGGTCTTGTGATTCTAGAAACTTGTCTATCTCTTCTAGGTTCTCAAATCTGTTGGAGTATAGTTTTTCATAATCTGTCAGTATCTTTTTTATTTCAGTTGGTTCTGTTGTGATGACACTATTTTCGTTTACAATTCTTGTGATTTTTATCTTTTTCTTTTCTTTTCTTAGATCTTCCAATGGTTTATTGATTTTATTAATCTTTTCGAATAACATCTTTTTGTTTTGTTGATTTTCTCTATTTTTTTTTTTGCTTTGTTTTATGTTTCATTTATTTCTTCTCTGATTTTTATTATTTCCTTGCTTCTAGATGCTATAGGATTGTTTTGTTGTTCTATTTCTAGTTGTTGGAGTTGATGGATTAGAGTGTTGATTTTGTTTCTTTCCTCTTTTTTGATGTATGCATTTATTGCTATAAGCTGTCCTCTGAGTACTGCTTTCTCTGTTTCCCATAGGTTTGGGTATAATGCATCTTCATTCTCATTTGTTTCTAGAAATTATTTTATTTCATTTTTATTTTGTCCTATTACCCAGTTTTTGAGCAGCGAGTTGTTCAGCTTTCACATGTTTGTTGCTATTTCCTTGCTACTCCTACTATTAATTTCTAATTTTATAGCATTGTGGTCCGAGAAGATGCTTTGT